AATGTCAACTAAATGATAATTCACAGAAGACAACCCTTGAATAAACAAATAAAAATAATTTTGGCACTGATCTCACCTCATACATTACTACCGTAATGTTAAAGGGGCACCTTCCAGTGAAGCTTAATTTCACAACAAATTTACTTTCTGGATTAAAATAACAATGGATAACAAAAGATAGATTAACATTGTAAACAACATAAACAATAGTGTCCCATGATTCTTTGGTGCAATCCAAGGGATTGAGCGGTTCCCCTTTAAGAAATTGTTTTGTAGTTAGAAGCTATGTATTTACAAATCATTTTAGTGTGGCAATTGTTCAGATAGTAAATTTGATCATTAAATGGTAGTTCAGGTCCTGTAAATATAGATTACGTTTTAAACTTATCTGGGAGAGCAGAGATATTTCCCTGCCAAAAAAAAGTAGGTGATTTAATGTAAAACTAAGCAGATAAAAATCATCCTAGGTTTCAAACTTACCATTACTTTTAAACAGGTGTGATACATAAAGAATTCCCTCATTGATAAAATCCAAGTAACACACTGATCTCCCATTAATACATATAGTTTTGTTGTTCCAGATAACAAAGCATGCTACGATGGATGGCAATGGAAAAATTAATTTGCATCCAAAAGGTTTTAAATAGCAGTCAAGAATATGTTACATGGAAGATACACAAGATACATTGCAATATCTTTGAATTGTTTTAACCTTGAGCGAGTCACTGAGTGGTATAATGCAAAAAATCGATCATATTTATTATACCCACAACTTTACTATCACCAATGCTTGCCTGAGTTCAGACAGTCGGTGATTTGATAGACCAACACTCACACAAACATCGTGACCAGAAATGTAAACATCAATGACCTCTTGCTGGTATTCTCAAAGTGGTGTATAACCTAGTATCTTCAGTGTTCCTTCAATGCTGTCTGTGCAAAATTTCAGTTTCGGTATGTTCTCTATCTAATCAAATTTAATTTGACAAGTTAATGCTGATTGGTGGAATATTAATGAGCCTGTTGATCATTGCTTCACGCACTGAGCCCAGACCGGTGACATTCATCACCAATGTCGCAAGGATCTACAAGGGTCATAAGTCCCTTGTTTATTTTGTTGTACAAATGTAACCTGGCTTGTGCCATTTCCACACTCCCATGAGATCAGCTCCACCTGTATGGCAGGTGAAGTGAAAAGTAATTGGGAATCTTTTTTACTTTCATTTTACAACTTTTCCGGCTTTATATTTAACTATTTAGACACATTATGGCAGACATGCTTAAAAATTTGTAGTGCACTCATTACTAAATTACCCTATTGAAAGTTTAATGAAGTTAAATTCCCAAATATTTAAATCCCTCAAAATTGTGTAGTTGTATTACTTGGCCAATATTCTGACAGTATGCAACACTCTTGTCAGTGACAAGATATACTGGTACAACTCTTACAATTACACTATTATTGAATTTTTCTCTGTCTTTTTGTGATAATTTTGCTAATTAGGCATATCTTATATTTATTATTGAACAGTGGTTCCACCCCCTTCCCCTCCCCCATTAATCAGAAATGCTGTTGATTTGATATTGATCTGATCAGATCAGGGATGTGTAATAGGGTTATTTTATTTCTAGACCATTTTCTGGTTGGTATATTGGTGGACCTCTTCCAGATTTGTTCATTTTGTGATGATATCTAACAGTGGAGCTATGTCATTATTTGTATTATTGTTTTCAGAGAAATGGTTGCTGATATAAGAAGAATTAAAAACTTAACTGTAACAGATGAGATAGTTGAAAATGATGCCATTGCCAGTGCAAAGTAAGTTATTGTTTTAGTATATGTGAAAATAATGCCATCATGATTTCAAAGTATGTTACATTTTTATATAATATATATATATATATAATTGCTTTCTTTGAAGTCACTACTGCAAACAAATTGTTATTCTTTTAGAACTGTTTACAATATTTGCTAAATACTATTGTATCTTCAATAGAAGTGCTGAAAAATTGTGTTTAATGTTTAGCAAAACATTAAATGAGAACTTAATTTGTCCATAGACACACCTCTGTCATTTACATCCTAATATCTAGGAAATAGAATTTGCATGATAAATTCTGTACTTAAATACATTGTACATTGTACATTCATTTCCTATGATGGAACTATATATATATTTATAATTACTAACAACCACATAGAACAAGACAAGTATTAAACCACCATTGATGCTAACTGTCATTTATTTTCACCAATTGTTCTTGTCCAGAGTGTTTGGAACAGAACCTAAGGCTAGCCTCTCTCTCAGTGAATTTTTAAATGCTGTTGGTCAGTTAAAATTTAGAGGAACATCATTGTTATTCCGGCTACCTAGAGTGATGTCACAGACAACAGAGTAAGTATCTTTGTTATTCCGGCTACCTAGAGTGATGTTAAAGCCAACAGAGTAAGTATCTTTGTTATTCCAGCTACCTAGAGTGATGTTGAGTCAACAAAGTGAGTACTGTAGAATACTTTATTTTCGCTTGGAATTTATTTTCGCTATTTTCCTGAAAGGATGATTCCGTGAAAATAAAATCCAGCGAATATACATGTACTTTTTTCCCTATATTTCACATTCAACTCGTCAAAAATCAGTGAAAATAAATTCATACAAAACACCCAAAATGCCTTTTCAGCGAAAATTAATTCCAGCTAAAATAAAGTATTTCACAGTATCTTTTATTCTGGCTACCTTGAGTGATGTTAAAGCCAACAGAGTAAGTATTATTGTTACTCAAGCTATCTACTAGTAGAGTGATGTTAAAGCCAACAAAGTGAGTATCTTTGTTATTCCGGCTACCTAGAGTGATGTTAAAGCCAACAGAGTAAGTATCTTTGTTATTCCGGCTACCTAGAGTGATGTTAA